GTCGTGGGTGGTGGAACGGGGAGCATAAGTCGTCCTCTCCATCCCTCTCAAGCTTTGAGAAGGATTGCTTTGGACGGATTCTAAGACAATTTCGGTCTTGGTGGAACGTGGACGTCCGCTCCGTGGCACTTCGTCGAAGTGAAACTCTCTCTAGAGAAGCGGCCGTACCACCTATAGCAGGTGGCGAGGAGGTGCAGTACTGCCCATCGATGACTGCAATTCATGCCGCTCTTGAGTGGCGGAGTGACCAGATCGGTAGTAATGAAGCAGAAGGCGCCTGTAGTCGTGGTAGTCAAAAATAATTCAAATGTTGATAGCTCACTTCTAAAGATAAGGTGCAATACGATTCTATTGTTTTGACGATCTACCAAGAGTGCCCTTTTGCTGCCCTTTTTTTCCGTGGATCTGCTTCATCTCTTTCTTGCGCAACATGGTTGCGAAATTCATGACCGAAATTTTCTCAAAACATTTGAAACACCCTAATATAATAGAATGCGGGGGTGCATCCTTTCTTCATCCTCACGGACTTTATCCATCATATTATGATCGATCGAACTCATTTCCGACCAAAATAGTGCTTGCTCACATGGCTTCCCTTCAACGAATCCTACCCGTTGTTTTGGAATGGCTCACGTGAAGATTATAACTTGAAGGCAGTAATCGGCTGTATACAGTAGCGCTCAAAAGTATTCGGCCAAATTTAACTAGCCGTAATTTTTTTCCCAGTGGAGCAAATCACATGAAGTTCTGATATGTTCAGCTGAAGCATATTTTATACTGTCCAACACTACTTGGCTGCAAAACAGCCATATCCACATACTAATGGGAGGCTTTGTAGACTGTGCTGAAAGCAAGTTTGTTACGTCTGCAGTTATTCCGACCTTATGTACGTTTTTCTTCTCTGTAGTCATTAGTATCTCACATGTCTACTCTCATGTTTTTTCTAATCAATGGGTTCCGTGCATTCAAATGGGTGCTGCGTGAAGATCCAAGCTAAGGTTTACACGATAACTGGCGGGCCTCCCTTCAGATGTCCTGGTCTAACCTTGTTTGGGCCGGGTGGGCACTTTTCCAACGACGTAATAGTACTCCGGATTTGGGAGGAGAGAACTGGCAGAACGGCATATCAATGCTCCTGCTCGGAGTCTTTCGTAGAGAGTCGAAAAGATTGGAGTTGAAGTGTAGATAACATTCTCCAATGTGGATCGGGATGCAGGAGCAGTTTCTTCAGCGTCGGAAGCAAGTCGCTCCAGTCTCGTATATGACGAAGCTTTTGCGGGTTGCTAAATATCTTCTCCACCCGTCCCTTTGAAAGTGCTCGATCTGGTAAGCCGCACTTGCGTATTAGCGCGAGTACTTCTGAAGGCAGACGCTCCTTTGTGGACTTTACTTCTGTTTAGGACGATCTCATGGCTTCATTACTTTAAATTGGTCATCCTCTCTGAGAAGCTGAATTTACCACGGAGGAAGCACAGCTGAAACCATATACAGGAATTCCCAAAATTCAGGAACTTCATAGACAGAAATAATTTATTAATAGACTTCACTCGCAGTTTAGTGGGACTTCATTTTTTCTCTCTCTCATCTTCTCTGGTAGGTTGCACAAGTAGGTTCTTTACAGTGTCTGATGCGAGACTTCTGATGTTCTAGAAAGTGATATATATATATATATATATATATATATATATATATATATATATATTAAGGTTTATCAAAAGTGGGTGAAGGATGGCCGTCTCAACGAACAAGAACGAGACAACTTGTTGAACATAGTGCAAGAATTAGAGGTATTCTTTTTCTGTGGAGAATATATTCTGAAGTTTTTCATTATATTCAAGTCAAAAACATTTTTGCTCGCTCACGCTTCCTATGTGTGACATGAGTTAGTTCTGCTCCGGTTTTTGACTGCCAGACATCCCTTTGTAATCGTATTCTGAAGTTTTTCAGAATGAAATGTATAATTCATCGTTGCAGGCACGATGTCGTGTGACAGACTTACACGAAAACTCTCCATCACCATCTTCTACAGATTCCGTAGAATCAGGTTCTGAGCAATTATTACTACTTCTTCTCATTGGTAACTGTAGGGGGATTACATCAGTTTGTAGCTTTGAGTTAATAGTAATTTTTCCATCCCTTTTAAGGATAATATTATGCGAAGTCTTGAAGAGATTCAATACACAAACTTCAGGAAAATGCCTAGTCAAAAACATAGCCACAAAAAGTTTGAGGCTCGCCGTTGAACCACGTTTTCCTTAAAACGCGGTTGACCGATGAGCCGCGCTGTCTTTAAGAGCTAGGTTATTTCTGAGCGTTTGCTATAGATATACATCAATATTTTAGAGGGCGACCACGACGTAGCTCTTGCACAGTCTCCCAGAGTTCAGGTTGACGTTTCTACGAACACTCCAAACCGTGATGTGGTGTGTGTTTTGTGGAAATACTGCAATTTTTGCTTCTCATATTAGTTGTACTTCTAGCAAACTTCACTTTGCGACGCTGACGAGTCGTTCTTCTCTGTTAAGAGCGACCTTTCGGATCATACGCTATCTAATGGCTCACTAGGGAGAAATAGCGCTTCAAGTGACGGCCGCCAGGCCTTTGGCAACACTTTTGATGGAAGGAAAGTTGAAGAATCAGAACATACGGGAAATCTCACCATCGATAAGCAAGAAAAGTTTCGCAGTGCTTCTTCAATGACAACTAGTCGTTCAGTAACCGTTGCTATACCTGAGGAGCGAGAGATATCTAAGGAAGAACCACTTCCTGATATCGGAGATGGAACAACGTCAGTAGTGCGAAAACCTACGTATGAGATGTCTATTAGTGCGGTCAGTTCGATCTCTGTTATACCCAGCCAAGCAACCACTTCGACGCCAGCCACCGCTACCGTCTCCAACCTACCACCTATTGTGGCCAATTCGCCTTTCGGAAAATTCATAACAAGTAAGGAGGCAGCAGCATCGTATTGGAAATCGGGAAAACCACCCAAACCAGTGTTTGGGACGGTACCACCGTGTATCAGTTCTTCGCAGCAAAAACCTGAACAAGGGAATGCTGCGAATATGTCTCCAGTTCTTAACACATGTTCTTCTTTGAAAGGCACCGCACAACCCCCAGCAACAGGCTCCATTTGCTCTGGAACTTCAGGAACTGTTCACTCGCCATTTTCCTCCGAAAGATCTCAGAAAAATATTGCCGGAAGCCAGGGTCAAGTGCCTGTGAGCGTTATTTCTTGGTATTCACATCTCTAACTTTTAGATTTCAGATCTTTCCTAATTCTAGATCTCACGGTCTTCTTCGAATGTTGCATCAAATAATTTCATGCAACCCCATCCCGATGTCTGCGCTTTGGAAGAAGAGTTTCTTGATGACGATGAGAGCTGTGCGTTGATTTCGAATCACTTTTTAATTTGTGCTATGGAAACGTACTTTCAGTTTGCAATAGTCTTATCATTGAACTGTGCAAAAAACAATTAGAGAGGAGTCCAAGAAAAATTCAATCGGTGAGTGCACAGCATTTTGTTGTTATCTTTCTTATACAGTAGTGCTCAAAAGTCTTCGGCCAAATGCTTCTTCAGTCGTATTTTTCAGTCGTAATTTCTTTCCTACTTGACCTAATCATGCGAAATTTCGGTATGCGTAGCATGAGTGTGTTGTGAATGTTTACAACTATTAACCTGTTTTCTGATCACGAACACAGTAGAGGAGGAAAACGCACATAAGGTGCGAATAATTGGAGATGTCGCCAACTTGCTTTGAGCGAAGCTTAATTCCGCAACAAAACCTTGCTCTTAGTTATGTGGATATTGCTGCTTCGCAGTCAAATAGTGTTGAACAGTGTGAAATATGTTTAGTTTTACATATCAAAATTTCTTGCGATTGCATTTACTCCATTAAGAAAAAAGTTACGCCCAAGAAAGCGTGAAAGGGTTGGCCGAAGACTTTTGAGCGCGATTGTATTTATAAAGCGGTAACTTAGCGTGTCTGTTTGTATGTCGGGGTTTGTGCGTACGTCCGCAGAAAATCACGTAGGCACGATGGGGATTGTGAAAAGTCACGTCGGTGCATCATCATGTTGACATCAAATTAGAGGTCTTAGGTACCTCTATTCAACACGGATTACTTGGTGCTGTGCACGCGTTAGCGTGCGCAGTCCAACTGGTACCATCGAAATCCTTTAGTATTTGAACCTCGTTGCAGACCAACTTTGCTGACCTCGGTGCTTTGCAAGAGAGAATGGCTCAAATCGCAATACAGATGCAGAATACGGAGAACCAACCGCGTACGAGCATGATAACGTAAGTGGTTTGGGAGACGCGAAATTCTGACTTGTGTTGTTGTCTTCAACAATAGTACCATGTGGTGGTGATGTGTTGTAACTGTTCATGGCAATAACAAAGACATTGTTCATCGTGATCAAAACCACCTAGGCTGCCATTGCCTCCGTCACCATCTATAGCGAGGACTGCACCAACTGAAGCACAAATACTTAGCGTTCGTTTAATTTTAGAAGAATAGGGTTTTCGTATTCTATTTGTTCTTTGTGCTTTCTGAAACACCTCTAGTAGCATTATTGGTCGCAGTTTGTTCTAGTTTTTTTTAGGAGCAACAACAAGAGTGTTTAATAGAGCTGGAACAGAAGGTTGCCCAGCTAATGCGTCCAACGGTGCAACCAACTAAAAATACGGTATTTTTCATGGCTGGCGACGATCCAGTTTCAGTTTCTCGAGGTTCTACTTCAGGAGTAGTATCATGTACGTTCCATTCACTGTTATTTGTATTTGATATTCGAATAAAACAGGCTTTTTATGTTGTGCTTCATTAAGTTTGGCAAGCCTCGCGTAGTTTAACATGCTAAGCCGCTTGTCACATCACTTTTATTGACCATTTTTGCTTTCCACCAGTAGCTGTGGGTTGTGGTTGTTCGTTGTATGCACTCAACTGCCTATTCTCGAGTGCGCCTGTTGCTCTGAATGCGTCATTCGGTAGCCTTACCCCTCAGTACACGATTCATGCATGCGCTCTCCTTCCAACTATATAGAGTATTTGTTTCTGATATCTGAAGATGTAAATGGAAAGTTTCAATTTAGCGAGATCGCCTTCACATCCGGATCGGCTTGGTTGGGATCATTTCGGGGATCCATTGAAAAGAATGGAACAACGTAAGCCTTTTTAGTCGAGTGGTGCTGTTGAAATGAATGTTCTTGATAGAACGGATATAACGGATATCACTTGCCCCCGTGATCAATTCGTTTTGCCCAACAAAGGCAAATCCTTGATCTGCATCGTTCATCTTTTCAGTTGGTTTTCATTTCTTTTTACAGTAGCCCGTCATCCTGACACTAATGGCGTTTGTTTTGGGTGTTTGGACGATGATGGTCAGGATCATGTTATAAAGGCTTTAGATCGATTAGCTTACGAGTGGAATAATGCAAGTGATTCCGATGACGAATAGACAGTTTTTAAAGGTTATCAGAATCGTCTGTATAAAACAGTTTTCTTATTCTATGTGAATATTGGAGACTTCAAATTCAATCTCAATCTCTGTTCTGATACTTTGTTGACGAGTGTGACAGGTGGCTGTATTTTGACCAATCATCAATTCAGAGCACTTATTAGCGCAGACCTTTGAGAAAGAAGTTAGGAAAGCTTTTTGATTATGACAAGTGTGCATCACCATCATGTTAGCGTTTCTGTGCATCCAATTTTCGATCGCTCAATAAATTTTTAATCGAAGTATTTTCAACTCACTGACGGCTTGTGCAACGTAAGTCACTGTCAATCGTTAGAGATTAACTGCACAGTCTTCATTTTTCGCTTAGGTGAAAAGTATTCTTCGATAGCTCCAAGGGGTTCTTCTCAGAATTTGCTCAGTAACTCTACTGATGTTTTCTTAAAGGGGTTTTAAGTTTTAAGTGATTTTACGAATAATGCCAAAGCAGAATATTCCTATCTGCCGCCTGTACTCCTGATAAGTTTGAATGCCCTAGGTCCACGGGAACGGGAGTCACGAATTTCCGCTCAAACCGCGTTCACTGGGGCACTGTAGGTGGAGTCCAGTTCTGCCACTCACCATAAGTGTTCACATCCTGCCCGCAGTATTCCTACCAAATTACAACGTATCAGGTCCACGGGGACAGGAGCTATTATGTTCCGCTCAAACATTTATTTCGCGCAAACCCCACCTCCTGGGGCGGGATGCGGTCTTGCCACCTATCGTGTTCATGTTCTCATCCTGCCTCCTGTACTCTTACCAAATTTGAACGTTCTAGGTCCACGGGGACAGGTGTTATGAATTTCCGTGCAAACAGACAGACAGACGCGAGCGCTTCATATGTAGTAAGGATTTTACGGATATAAAATCGATATCAGAGGGTGAAGAACAAAAGAGAAGATCAACACTGCCTTTAACCTTGTTGGTATTGTGATGAGATGTTGGTTAAGGTGTTCTCGCAAAGGCGACAGGAGCTGTGTATACAAGGCTCTACTCAGTTCTGATAGAGGCGCCCTGCACCATAAGTTCGGAAGAGACACTTCAGAGTTGGTAGAGAACAATCATCAGCTTTTCAAATGAAGGGAGCTTTGGCAGAGTATTGTCTCGTACGGGTCTCGCGTGCAATGTTCTATTATGAACGAACAGCCCTGACTACTGCTCGAAAGTCTTCTTTTACATTTTAGAAGGAGGAACATTTTCAAGCCGCTCGCCATATAAAGCTCTTGGGTTCACCATGAAATCATATACCTACTGACTGCCTTGCGAACAGCATCCATCAGCTGAACAAGAGCGAGGGCTCCAATTTGAAAGTTAAGTGCTTCGACTTTGAAGGGATGAGTAAACCGCTAGTATCTGTCCGCTTGGAAATATGGACCGCTCACGATTGATGTGAGGTGAAGCGGACCACGGGAAGAAACAAGCTTTTTTCGTGGGAAACATCGAAGGCCAGTCGTAGGTCTGGTGGTGGTTTAGTGATGTTTTTACATAAATTTGAATTGAAAAATACTGACTTCTGAGCTTCATCTAGATTTCTTCTCATTGCATATGCACTTTATCGAAGCTGTTGTTTGTTCAGTTTTAATGGTAAGCTTTCGGCATATAACGCCTTCATTTTACAATAAGTGCATACAATCAGTCAGTTACAACCAGAACTAATCAAACCACATCGGACTAATTGGAAACATTGGGAAATAAGGGAGTAGGCCTGTCGGCGGGGAATTTGGATAGACAATGGGACATCGCTCTTGCTCTGAGGCGAAGAAGTGTCTTTAATCACTCACTCTCAGGAGGTCATGCATCTCCTCTTTTGCGTTGACTTTTGGCATAGTGCGATTTCCCGTGCTTCCGTTATTTTCCTTTCAAAGGAATGTACCAAACGTCTACAACTGTACGGTGCTTGGAAAAACTGCTTTGCTTGGAAAGATTGTAAAGCCGTAGAGTGTTTCCAGACACAGCAATTTTTCCGGATAGGGCACAGCTAAGCATGAGAAAAAACTTCATCCATCGATGTGAGGGTTTTGTATAGGTTGGAAAAACAGCTATGTGACTGTACTACAATGCGTTTTCCTCAATTTTCACTTCAGTTTCCCGATCCCCGACATTTCCTGTTTAATGCTTCAGTTTGAATGCTGATATTCGAAATCTTGTGCTTCCTTCAATGAGTCAAATGCGCCGAACAATGCGCAAGATTGAATCCCATTCAAAAGACACGATCCAAAAAAGCCCTGCCTCATCATTCTTTCGGTTATAGTAGGTCCTAGTCTAGGCGGTTCTAGAAGTCCATTCAGTATTAGCTGCATGAGTATTTGGCTGGATTGTTTGATCCCGTATTACTAACTTTGTGAGCCTACCCAAACCCATACTACCTAACCTCATTGAAACCCATGTTTTATATTTCGCGTGGGCACCTTAGTGTTTTTGGTTTTTACTCGAAATCTTTGTCACGAAATGGTTGCGTTGGTGCTTTTCCCACCTTATTTTTACTTGGCGCGCTTGACGCATTTTCTTCCGTCACGCTGTAATCGCTTGACAAGTTGAGATTTTCAGAGTTTCAATTTGATTCATTCTTCAACAAGTTACCCTTAACAGTACATGATAACCAGAAGTTTTCCCCATGGAATTGTGATCAGGCACAGTTCGCGTTTAAAATGTTCTCCCATACATCCACCTTGGATAAATTTGTGCACGCCTCTTATACCGTATGTGGCGCAGTCAGTTGGAAAACGGTCTGGAACGGTTCAGATTTTTGAACGCTAGCACCCATAAGAGAACAGAAAATCCAGTCGAACTTGCTTGTGAGGAAAGTAAGGCAATTTCCTAGCTAGTTTCAGCCACTACTGCGGAAAACTATGGATCGAAGGAAAGCAGATGTACAAAGTACGTTTCTATTCCAAGTCAGGAGCCCAAAAGATGGTCATGTAAAAGGGAGTCGTTAAATAATTCAATCTACCTAGAACTACGAATAAAGTATGCACAAGTTCGAACAACGGTGGGCATACTAACAGTTTTGAAAGTCACATAGTGAGTGCAAAAGTACGCACTGCGTTTGGATGATAACTCGATTGAGCGTCTAAACGAAACCAGTGCTCACTAACAGATTCCCCAGCGCTAGTTTAGCAAACATAAATTTCCATGTTTTGGAATAGAACAATTGAGTAGAAAACTCAAGAGCACGGCGGGAACACCAACGCTCCCACATCTTAACAGGGCTAGGCCACGAATTACTGCTGAAGCCACAGTTGGCGACTACTTTGTACTCTGAAGTACTCTTTTTGAGTTGAAAAGCGGAAGTGTTGGTAGTGAATAGTGCATCGGTAGCAAAGAAACTTCGTGTAAAACAGGGCTTCCCGAAAGTGGTGTGTGTGGAGGTTGTACAAGAGTAGCATGACGGAAATGGCATGGACGTAGCATTTACACGAGGTTTCAAGTGGTGAAATATGAACAAAACTAAATCCAGATGAAAATTTTCTAAACTGTCTTACTTTGTCGCCATTGTCACTAGTTGTTTGAAATGGGTTTCAATTACATTTGATCACCGCCGTTCCAATCCCAGTCGAATGGGCAGGCTGAGCGATTCATGGACACTTTCAAACGCTTACTTCGGGAATTGAATAATGCCAAACCCATACTCTTCACCTACTGAACACACAGTGAGCTTTCTTCCCGATTGCCGCTCCGCTGTGGAAAACTTCATCGGATGACGTCTTTGAAATACATTGCATTAGCTAAGACGTGGAGAAACGCAGGGATAAGTACAACTAGGTACATGTAACATCAGTTCAACCGTCATGTAATTATGTCCAGGAATTTCAAGCCCAACGATATCGTCTTACCTACGACTTACGCTCGGGACACCCTAGACAGATACCCGAACGTTTTCTACTCGCTCATGGACGTGCTCGAAAAAACACATTTTGGTAATAAGTCTCAGTAGATACGTAGAAGCGTTGACAGCGATCGGAGCGGAAAATTTCTACGGACCTGCCCCGAATTCAACCTGCATCTCACGTTTAGTCATCGTAATATGCAGACTCATAGAGACCGACCAACAAATGAGTTTCTCGAGTTCCTGGGTCAAACCTGGGAACACAATCTTGTGAGAATACCATAAGCTATTTCAAACAGAATCACTGAGTTGTAGCACCGGCAAACGATGGTTCCTTCATCCACTTCTTAGTCGTTACTGCAACGACAAACTAGACCATTTGTGTTCGATAGGGGCACTGATACACATTTGAAAAATAATTGAAAAGACCCGCACACACGCGTCGTCACCATAATCATGTCGAACAGATTTTAAGCACAGTAGAATCGAATCTATGTTTTTTGGAAATATAATTCACATAAGAGCGGTATATGATCACTGGGCGCTATTTTCGATGGTAAAGCTTCGTATTTGGTGAGCAGTTCGAGAGCAGGTCGTGGTGCCATTCGATGCAACCCAGTTGTTGAATCGGTCCAAATGTAGTCCAGACATCCAGCGAACCCTCGCTCTTCTCCATCACTACCCCTGTATCGCGTGTAGTTGGTTTCATCAGTTCCCGTTTGATTCACCAATCTGCTGCCGGATGGAAGAAGCTGCAAGTCACAAGAGCATACCAGAGAGAGCAGTCATTTCACTAACAGAAAATTTCTTACCACCATATCACTGGCCACCATGTCTTCGTCTAACCTCCAGCAATCCGAACTCTTCGACAATTTTCCCTACAAAAACTTTTCTGTGCATGTGAACTCATATGAACATTTCGTGGGAAACAGTTTTGAAAGCTAAAAAAAGGTTGCAAAAACGCAACAGGGAAATGTAGAAAATGTAAAAACCAACCGTGCTAAGAAGCTCGTACACCGGACCGTCAGGAGTGCTATTAAAATCCCCTGCAAAAAGTAATCGAATGGCATTATCGGGATATAGAGTTGCATAGTACTGACGAGTTCTGTAAGAAAAGGGTCCTACGTATCCTGTGAAAGATAATAAACATGAAGGCCTACGATGTAAAAGATTCGCATGAAAAAGGATTGAAAAAGGATGAAAAATATCCGCATTCTCCACTCCAACCACAAATTAAACGATTCCTTGCGCCTCAGGAATATTCCGTTATTTTTGAGGGAACTTAAATTTTTTTTNTTTTTTTTGCGGAATCTTCTCCCACATTGGTGATCCCAATCTCTACTTGGGCTATGTTGTAAGCGTACAGGCCTAGAACCCGAATGTTCTTGTTGATCTCTCCTTGATTTGATTTAATTTATTACACGAGTTATCTAGTGTGAAATCAACAGGCGCATGAACTAACCACCGAAGAATTGTATTCTTGTATTGAAGAAGTGTTGGGAGGACATCATCCATAAATAACCAATTATGAGATGGGCAAGGCCAGATGAACATGTAATTTATCCAACATAACAAATAACCTTGATCTAATTCCTCGTAATTACTCTGACCTTGAGTCGTCATGAATGGCTACTTTTTGAATTCACTTGCCTGCATCACTCCTTACCCTGTCCCGAGCACGCACGCCTCCTTCGCCACGAAAAATTTCCAAATGAAAACAAATTAGCAAAGTGATTGAGGAACCTCACATGTCAAGCTGACGCACTGCCACAATCGCTTGGAAAACTTTGAGATGCTCATGCCTGGGATTGTGATGAAGATGGGTATTGCCGCAGATGACAACATCCTTAGATAGTCGATCTCGTAATACCACTACCTTAAAAAAAAGAAAGAATCAGCTACAACAATGAATGCTTTGCTGGGAAAATATTAGAAAGAGTGAATGATTGAGAAATGAAACTGAGGTAAATGCAAAAAAAACCGAGGACGAAAGCTGCTTCGGCTTTGAAGGAATCTAATAATGAGGCATACTACATTGAGCACAACTCGTGTTGTGATCAGAACAATAAAAAAGGTCTTCCGCTCTGCTGGTCGTCTATCTGCTGCGCGGCGTCCGCTTCGATTTCTTTGTGCGAGCGGTAAGTTTTCTCAGTTTTGCTTGTAGGAGGATGGTTAAACTCACAGCATGGGTACATAGGAAATCTACGCGATTTCCCTTCTCGCAGCACATTGAATGCTATAGTTGCATGTTCATCCCGTCTGCACAATTTGAAGTCACTCAGGGTATGTCAGAAAAAAGAACACCAGAACGTAAGAATTGGCGTGAAGCTGTATTTTATTTCTCATTCGCCGATGCTTTCAAATGCAGTCCGCGCCGTTCAGCCCTTTCGCTCAGTTTGGAGCTGATTCACCATGTTCGTCTTTCGACCTAGTTACGCGCATCCACGACATTCGAGTGTGCAAATAGATCGTGAAAGTTCGACCCCCCTTTGGGAACTTGAATAGGTACACAACAAGAAGCACCTTTACAATGCCATCGAGTAGCGTATGCCAGTAAAAGTTGTCTTCTAAGTAACAAATGCCAGTGAAAGTTGTCTACTCATATTTTGTCTCCTAGCCCGAATGGTTCCCATTTACTTATTCCTGTCGAATTTTTTTTTTCACATTGAGGACCACTCTGGTCTCTCGGCTGACGCATAGCTTCCCTCCTTCTAATGACAAAGTTGTAATAGTCATCTCCTTGTTCTAAACGAGCGATACTTTTACAAACGCGAAGTTGGATACAGAACTGACAGGGTAGTGCAGGTGATATTCAGTACGTTCCTATGCTCATGCCTATGATCGGAAGCCTCGATATACCGCTCTTCATCTTGAAAATTATTACTCCACTAACTGTCACGCAACCGAAGCTTTCAATGGCTCTCACAAACATTTCCGAGTAATAATAACACAATTACCATATGTCGCTACCAATATAACTTCTATTCGCTAAAGATAATACCATCCTTGCTCAAAAGAATCCTTCGGATTCAATTGTTGAGAGACACTTGCTCTCCAAGGTCCCTGGTCAGCTCTTATCAGTTCATCTGTTCTTGACACCAACCGTTCTCGATCCCATCACCACCAAAGTGCCAAAGTTCCACTGCTAACACAAGGAGCATGGCCTATTGACTATTACAGCTCATTATCAGCTCTTAGCAGTTGCTATCAGTTCTCGTCACTGAGTACCCACGACTCCGTCACATCTTACATCACTCAGCCTTTTATGGCTCCTTGTCAGCCCTTTTCGCGTGCTATCAGCCCTTGTCACCATCCTCCTACAGTCCCTTCACTTTCCATCCTACCTACTACCGTGCCAAACCTAAACTGTTAATACGAAGAGCGTTATAGACCTGGGGCTCTCGCCTTTCTATGCTCGTTACCAGTAACTCAAACCCCCTACTAGAGTGCCAAGGCCACGGGAAGGAGGCAACGGATCTTGCGGCACCTGTATTTTAAGGCTCGTTATCAGCCCTTGTCTATCGTTTATACTCCCTATCACCTACCATCGGTGTTCACATCTTGTCGCATGTATCTCTCCTAAATTTGAACGCTTCAGGTCCAGTGAGACAGGAGATATGAACCTCCGGTCAGACATTTCTTTCGGGCACGCCTGTTTCGGTCCTGCCACCCTAAAAAAGTTCCTATCCTGCACTTCCAACTAGTTTGAAGGCCCAGGGCTTGCGAGAACAGGATTTATGAATTTCCGGTCGAACACACACACATACACCTAGCGAATTATATATGTACCAACCGGTTCGCCCGGCTCACGCCGGGCTTCCCTATTTCTTCGGCAGAGTTGTTGTAATCGGCTAACTCTCTACTCCTTTGAAACCGACGAAGACGAATAATAATAAACACCAACGTTAAGAGAACACAATCCCATTTTCAATGACCACGATTACTTATGGTAAAGGCTCTTTTTGTCTGTCAAACTTATTGTATGCGAAACCGGCTTTTTCAAAGACTTTAATTTATGAACTTCACACATTTTTGAACTTTATTTAGGTAACAATAAAACCTACCTGAATCGTGGTTGGACGGGAAGCGAAGATCTCAAGTGAAGCATTACTTGTGTTGAGAGCACTGTTAATATCATCATAACAACCATTTTCCAAAAGCGTAGCTAACCCGAAGCATTCCGCAGACAGCAATCTTGAATGTCGAATGCTCGTAGAAGCGAAATATTTTTTCACCTATTCTCCAGAAGTGAGAAACTACTTCCTCCATCCATCACAAACTAATTATGGGAATTGAGCTACTTACTCGAATCGTTCTCTACGGAAAGCAATGACAGATCCTTCAGTTACTTCCTTTTGTTTTTTTGCAAAGCACATTTCCATACCCATTGAATCAAAGAGTGCGCTCAGATAACGCATTTGCATTCGATTATCAACCTCTTGTAGAAAGCACAAATCCATATCATAGCCTAAAAATGGGCCTTCAGGCATTGATATTTCCAAAGACTTCTGTTTCATGAAGAAGAGCTGCAGGGAAACTTTTTGCAAATCTTGAAACTCAAAGCATTTATAGAAAGTGAGAAGCAATTTCAATGACCTACTAAAAATTTGAAAAAAAAGATATTATTCTCTAATCATAAAGATGAATGATAATGACCGAGGTGAAAGGAGGAAGGTGGTGAGGGAAAGGACATGGACAAACGTACTTGACAACTCCTTAAGCAGTAGTGGACACCTGTACTCGTACATCTGATACTGTTTTGGGCAATATGGAAAAAACAGTGATTCCTCTGGACCAGACAAATCCAAATATAAATCGGCGAGAATATTGTAAGACACTACTCGTACACTGAATAAGTGTTAATAGGAAGACTGACAATTGCAAAGTTCAAGTTCATGAGATTCGAACGATAAAATCGTACCTTTCAGGAGGTCTCTGCTCTTGACACCATTTAATATTACTTTCAAAAATCGGGGACTCATCGATCACTTCAACGGGATATTTGGACACACCACTTCTGAACAATGTTAAAGAGCTGTGGAATTGAAGAACCATTATATTTGGTATAATGGGGATGTCGAAAGGAAAATGTCAGACAGCAATTCGATAATTCGAATAACTTCAGTCTCCCATTTTCGAATCTAATCTACACACGAACAAGAGCAAGGAACTCCAGAGCATTCCACTTCAATCCCTGTTACGAAAAAAATTTTGAATCGTAATGAACATGACTAACTTCACAATAGCCTCAGGACCCAGATCTGCAACCAGAAACAACAGCTTCCCTGTATCGACTGCGGATGGAACATAGCAGTCACCTGTCCACCGATATTCACAGTTTGTTACAGAAAATCTGCGAGACGAACCTTTAAGGGACAAAAAGGTAGAGGTAATAATCAATTCAAAANAAAACCAACCAAGCACTAAAGTTATATCTAGTAGTGTGCACCAAAACAGTGGAGAGTAAAAAGAAATCACCTTCAATCATCGATATTGTTTCGCGGCCTACAACATCTTTGATCTTGCTATTACATGACAGCTCTTCAGTAGAATGGGGAGTATACGCATACCAATGCAAAGTTGGCTTTGCTGAAGGGGATCCTGAATGGTAACTATTACAATTAAGCGGCTTTCGAAGCGCTATATCCTTTCACAATCGCGCTCAGTGAAAATAGGATCAAAATATTGATAGGACGGGTCTGATTGGAAATGTCGTTTTCGTTAACACTGCAGAAAACTACTTTGCCGTCTCTATCACCACTATTCTCGCTACGCAAGCGCTCCCTTCAAATATACACGTAACCCTTGGGTCCAGCTAGATTCAAATTTGGTTAACTGTCTCCATTTCTATTTCATTGTACATTTCAGATGAGATGTCCTCCTAGAGCTAATGGTGTGCAGCTCGCTTGCTGAATCTTCCGTTTAAGCACAGCAGTATTTTGTAGCTCTGCAACCCGCTTTTTTAACGTCTCAGCCACATTGGGGAGCTCTAGTGCGCACACAGAGCCCAGAAAATGATTAATGAAAGGCATAAAAACCATTTATCTAATCCATCGATGACTGACCTTGCCTAAAGTCGATAGCTGGATAGAGGGGACATCCTGCTAATGGCTTCACTGCGCATGACAATGATGATATATCGATTGGCTCACGAATAACAGTATATGGGATGCTATCAATAATTATTTGTTGCTCCGCATCCATAACTTCTTCAAGTGTCTGTAGAAAGCAATCGAGATAGAGCGACTTATAGTGTAATGAACCGTACAAAAAATAGTTACCATTGATTCAATTCTGCTAGCAGAGTTGGGAGCCTGTATTGTAACTGCTACTCCAGATGTTTCAGCAAATATACCAGACGGTGGAGTAACAGCAAGCGCCCTCTTGTTCTTTTGAGGTGCTGTCATTTTTTGAATTTTAAATGCGATCTAGAAAGAAAAAGAAAAGATTGACCTGTCAAAATGAAACACATTCAAAAAGCACTAAACACACCACCTTATTAGAACAAAGAAACAAAACAATTCAAACTTTGTAGATATACTCCACATGGGAGAATGTCAATATCGGAAACTAACCTTTTTAGCTGTTTCGCCGAACGGTTCCGAAGGTGGACGTCTTAACGCAACTAGTAAAGAATTGTCGTTGTAATGGAAATCAAACATTATTGATAGGAAATTGATTCTGAAAGCGAGTGTTTTGGCCACTATCAAAAAAAGAACAAGAAGAAACATATACACGGTAGAAAATTATACAGGTGGAGGGAGGATGCCCTTGGTTGGTGTCAGAAATGGGTTGCCACATACCTGCCAAGACTAAGGCAAGCAAATAGTACTACTGCATAGTCGTGTTGGAAGTGTTTTGAAAAAGTTATACCATATGTCACCCCATGTCAGCCTCTTAAATTCAATGAAATGACTCTAAAGTAACAGAGTTGAGGGAACAATATCAACATACATATGGGTGTAGAAATAACCACAGTCAGGCCTCGTTACAGAAATCTTACTGGTCTATCGATAATTACATTGCCCCGAATTATCAGTTCAGCAGGAACTATTGAAGCACCAGACTGCTCAATTTACAGAGGCCTACTTACCTTTCACTGGCTCGTGAGCTGACAGCATCCTTCCAAAGAAGAATAGAATTTTGTGGCATTAGCATGGGCATGGATGATCTGTGTAATGCACAGCCGATTGTGAATGGGATAGCTTTGAGCCATACGTAAAGAAAAGTAAGAAAAAGTTAAGTAGCGTAAATGACGAGTTTCACCACAAAAACTAATTACGGCAGCTGTTATATTGGGCAACTACGAGAACGCAGCAATATTTTAGTGAACCGCTACGAACCCAAATGCTACTCACACTGAAACAAGAAACAGAGTAAGCTGTTTAGCCATGTCACGAAAAGAGTAGGTCATAATTAAAGCGTTCAGCTCCACAGGTCGGGTGCTAAATCATCAGGGTACATTTAAATGAAGCCTTTACACACTTACGACTGAGGCGAAGAACAGTGCTCATAAAAGTATTGATATTATGTTAAAAGATTTTACACAGATTAGCATGAAAACGATCCAAACAAAAACCTCTCGACATTTGGTATGTGGTTGTTGGCAATAGCCGAGATTACATTTTTCTTCAGCAATCAAATGCTGCACTTCGTCTGCTTCAGAGTCCCATAATAATAAGCAACCGATACAAACAAGTCGCCCAAAATGTCTAGACCTTGGCCAAAGGTGATCAGCGACTTGTTGGTGACAAAGCAACTGGTCGCTTATTACTCGTCAAGGGGGTTGGTTGACGAGAAGCTACAGCGATTCAACTGGAAGGAGAAAACACCAAATGACAAGAAGAGCTTTTTATTTGTACAATTGTAACATGACAAAGAGTCGAAGGTTGGAATGCGCCATTACCCCCAATGTAACCACCATGACGGCCTCAGCTCCTAATAATACTACGGACAATGAATGGAAAAATAGATTAAAAATATATCTAGAGCAAATCAGGAAGTAACTTTCTGCATTACTCTGTGCTCCCTTATAACAGCTGCTCATATGCCATAAATTGTATCAGGTGTAAGGATGATAAAAAAGTTAGAAATGTGGACGATAAAGAACCTACCTCTTTAATTGCTTTGTGCTATATGTGGAGGGCTTCCCTGCCGCCTTCAAATTGATGGACGATACAGGTTTGACGACTTCTTTTATCTGATATTGTTTCATATAACAATGAACAAATGAAACATTCATATGATAAAGTCAACGAAAACTCGTCGATCCAAGCTAGCCACAAAGACATCTGTACTCCAATACGTTTTTGGAAGTTTCTTGAAGCCTTGCGGTATACGATTAGTGAGGAGGAAGTGGAACGATTGGTGAAGTTATATTAACACCTTTGCGGAGTGAGAGAACCATTGACACCAAATGCCATTGACAAAGTGAGGGAACTCAAGCTGCTACATTGAGAGAGATAGTGGATATAGAAAACATTTGTGGGTCAAGAAGGGACTGCTTACAAGAGATGGCCTCTTCTTAGAAGCCTAAGAAAATAAGTTCGTGCGCGAAGAAGAATGTCAAGATCCCTTACTGTAGAAAACACCAAAACGGGGCAGTAGTTCAGGGCCCAAGGGCTAGGTTTGTGAAAAGATATGGACCGTTGGTTGGTTACGAACGCGGCGTTCTCGTCAACTTTAAAAAGTGATGCAGCGATAAACCTATCTCATTTGCACAACAGAATAAGTCCCGAAAGAGTTTGTCGATCAGGTACAAGGGGTATATTCGTACCGTTACACATTAGGGAAGAATCATGAACCAACTGAATGATGATGGATTGAGTATGTTGAAATGGGTCGGAAGACTCGCCGCGAATGGATAGGATCAGGAATCGCGACGCAGTAGGAGTGGGGGCAGGACAGCTACTATAACCAAACAGATATATAGCAATGAAACGCTGAGATGGTATGGCCCCTTATTGATTCCAAGCAGGAAGTAAAGAATTTTGCAACGTTGGCAAGGAAACCTCTGGAAAGCCATAAAGTAGTGGTATAAAGACGTCATCAAGAGTTTTACCAACTCAGAATCATGACAGAGGGCCCCTCTGACAGGTACAGATTCCGCGGCCCGGAAGACTTGGTACAGTGAATCAGAGACGTCAGACGACCAGTAAATCCGTCACATAAAAGAGAACAGTTCAAGGACAAGATATGTACTGAGGCAATCACCGGGGCTGTATCGGCATTAAATTGCAAAGTCCCTCAACCTCGAACTCATTCCTATTTCCGGTCGACAACTACAACCCTTCGACTGAAGTGGACCCCTCGCGGAAGGTAAAAGTCAAAAAAGATAATGCTGAAGGTGGCGGGAAAGTTTTGCTGCTGAGCATGTTCAGCCATGCACAATTGTTCAGTTGTGCTCCCATATGCAGAACAAGATGTACAACATCATGATTTTCATCCTTAAAAAAAGCTACTTTGATAAGCATACGCTAGTATAAGAAACAAGAGGTAAGAAATTATAGAACTAGTGCTTTGGTATTGAATAGCTAGAACGTGTTCAAAATGAGAAATCTCGACTGACCTCGAACTGCTTCCCAAGAATGCGTTCCCACTGTTGATGTGTTCTAGACCTGCCTATCAACCCGCTGAGAAAAGCGAGTAACTTCGATAACATTGAAACATGTAAATCTGAATAGCACACAAAAACCACGATAAAATCTACTTGAGGGAGCAACACAATGCAACACAATCGTCGAGTTCGATGTGAAAGACGCAGTCACCATCGGCGGCGCCTAATTCGGTTACAGGACCGTTGTCAACCGCGTGTGTAGTGACTCAGCGTTTTTGTCGTTTTCTCTGCGTCTCTCCAAACAGGCATCTCATCGCAAAGAGGATAGAGGGCAGACGGAAGAGCTGGCCATTCCCCAATGCCTTCTATTACCAGTGATACAATAGGATACCTAGCGAACACTGTCGGGTTAAGACTGAATCAATGGGGTTGCAGTTCTTCAAACGATATTGTTGATCTCAGCGCTGATTCCCATAAAAACAAACTAGTAAATAGATTGCAAACTTGGGTTTTCTACAAGCCACTTGGATTCTTCGCGTGTAGATGTTCTATGCAGAAGTTTTATTAATATTTAAACAAAGATCAAGCCTTCCCTTCTCTCAGACTACCTGAACTTCGAAATACGAAGTTTCCTCAGTTGGAAGAAGGCTGTATTTCTGAAAATTTTTCGACTCCTGGAACCAGTGTCTAGTGTCTACTCTTGACGAGAGAGCGCTCTGTAGGAGAGTACGGACAACGAGCGGACACGCCTTTCCCCCCGCTGGTGAACACGACACGCAGAACTGCTTCACCGTCTGATTCTCTCAGCTAGAGAAATTCTGGTTGACAACAGCCCTGTGACCGCCTAATTCATGATTTTGGTATCGGGGGACGGAACTTACGTGCGTCCGGGGATGCGCGCGGCAAATTGCGCGGCGAAGTGCGTGATGTCTCGAACGGCTCTGACGCCTATCATTGGGGCCCAAATTTGATGTAGAGTAGATCGGTAGTATCAGCTGACCCTACTAATCTACTATACTTCAAATTTGGCTCCCAATGATAGGCGCCAGACTCGTTCGAATCACCACGCACTTCGCCGCGCTCATCCTCGGACGCACGTATGTACCCATACCCGTGAAGTGCACACGTTGTTCACAAACTGCGCACCTATACATGCTGCATCTCATCAATCGGAGACAAAAGAATTATCTGTCTCACGATCGAGCACGCACTCGCCACGAGTGGTACAGGAGCCTGGATTTACATCAACATACCCTGCTTTTACCAAGTGCATTCCAAAAAATTTGTAAAATGAGGTTCACGGAACATTTCCACATGCCGAAATCAGGGGTTCGGTAGGTTCGCTCTAGAAGACTAGAAGGAAAATTCGGCGTCAGAAGGTCATGTGCTTTTATAAACTTTATTCATTTTTGATCTATGTTTGTGATTACTCTCTTTTGAAAACTCAGCCTCGTCTGTGCACCTTTTCCCTACAGAAAATTCAGAATCTTCTACGGCTCTATTGTTTTATATAGATTCCTGAGTTTGAAAGATTTACTCAGTGTAGTTTGTGGGATAGATCGATCATTCAGTGATAACGCTTCCCTCTCATTTTCAGTGAATCGACTTTCATCCGCCAACCATTCTGTTACCCGACAAAATGAATTTACAGTAAAGGGATGATGGCGTGGGTCCCGCAACGAACCAGATTCAAACAGTAGGCAGCTCGCTAGAAAACTCCTCCTGCGCTTTTTTCAAAGTGTAAGTTTAGGCAACAGTGCCAAACTAATATCCATCGCAGCTCATAAATTCATTATATGATGAAGATGTAGACTCAACAACAGACACTTTGCAACCTTTTAGTCCAGCAACTCCGATCTGAAAAAGGCCCTGAAACATAGAGATGTACTCGAGCTAGCAGGTATAGACACTGTCGCCCCAACCTACGCGCTGAAAAAATGCAGGGCGAGTTTTTTGACAAGCTGTCCACTGTTCGAATTCAGCTAGTTGCGGGCCCACGCCATCGACCCTTTACTATCGTTTCATTTTGACGTTTTGCGAAGTGATTCGAGGAACGTGAAGAAGACATGTCATTTAATGAACATTTCTTGCTTTACGACCAGTTTAGTGAATTCGGAGCATTAGCAGTAAGGCATAAACTCGCCGTTTCTGGATGGTCTACACTTAGACGCTCTTTTCCCAGCCATATGCGAAAGATTGGGAAGCCGAAGAAGCCCGATAAGTGGATGCCGCACGGAATGAGTGACGAGCAAAAGAACCGTCGTTTCGAGATCTCGTCTGCTCTCCTTCTCCGCAACAAAAACGACGCTTTCTCAGATCGTATTGTGACAAGAAGTGGTTTCTATACGACAACCGGCGACGTTCTGGACAGTAGTTGGACGAGGGTCAAGCTCCGCAACATTTTCCGAAGTTGAAACAGCAGTCAAAGAAGGTGATGGTGGTAGTTTGGTGGTCAACGGCTGGTTTGATCCATCTCAACTATTCGGATCCGGGCGAAACTATAACAGCTGAAAAATACTGCCAGAATATCGACGAAATGCACCGAAAGCTGCAGCTCATGAGCCCTGGATTGCTGAACAGGAACGGGCCGATCCTTCTCCACAACAACGCGCACCCCATGCCACACAGACCACCCTGAAGAAATTGAACGAGCTTGGCTATGAAACTCTGCCACCCCACCGTACTCAACTGACCTCTCTCCAACCGACTACCAAACTTTTAAGCATCTCGATAGCTTCCTCCGAAAGAAACGCTTTAGCAATCGACACGATGTCAAATCGACCACCCTCGAATTCATCGCTTCTAGATCTCCAGAGTTCTATGCAACCAGGATAGGCAAACTTGTTGCTCCTTGGCAAAAGAGTGTAGATAACAACGGCTCTTATTTCGATTGATAAAGTTTTGTTTGAGCCGAGATATGTGCATTGAAAGTTAAGCGTTGAAAAACGACAGAACTTTC